GGAAAGCAAGAAGCCGGAAGAGAGTTCCGAGAAGTGCGAGAAAAGTAGCTATTAGCATAGAACTTATGTTTAAGACTGGCAATTTCAACAGTAAAGTTATGGGAGTTATCCGCCATTCTTTTATTTCATTTAAGTACATCAGAAAACTTACCCGGAAAATAAAGAGAACAATCAAAGCTACGTTACGGCGGTGTGAAAGTGTCTGAAACCGTGATGCCAGATCAGGACTGATAACACTGCAGATTATTTTTGGAATTTTCAAGAATATGTAGAAATAAAAGAGAAGAAATTGACGAGATATGGTAGCAATATTCGATACACCAACGAATGGTAGACATATTAATATGGAAGATAGATTTTTGCTAGAAACGTTGACCAACACGCCATAGTGATCGGAATTTCCTAGCAACAGATGTAGCAGTTGATTCAATGTAATTATTCTATTTCAGTACAAAACGCTAGGACAAAAAGACTCTGTGTTGTTCTCTTGGAAATCACCATCACTCCTGCTGATAGAAGGCTAAAAATGTTTAAAGTGATTAATAGAGACTAGTTTTGTTTTAGAGACGTTACAATTAACAAGCCATTTCTTGCCCCAGTTAACAACAGATTGTAGGATATTTTCGAGATAAGCTTCCAATTGGATTTTATCAATTTCAAATTCAAATAATTTATTTAATGCCTTTCTAAAAGTAAAGAAAATTTACTTATAACATATTAATTTTTTATCATCAATATAATTGCTGGCACATGAAAATAAATATTGTAGTATGAAAACAGAATTGAGGAAGAATTTTTCCGAAGAGAAGTCTTTGTTAAAAAATAAGCTTAACAAAATATTAAAATTCTCTTTCTTGGGAGATTCTTGATAACAGTTTAAAGATGAGTTAGCTAAAATAACTCAAACTAATAAATTATTTCTTTAAAACAATTAAAATTATGGATTTTTTTTAATTAGATCATAGCGTACATTAATTTTCTTTAATTTTGCAATGTAAAATTTTAGATTATGTTATAATAAGTGTGGTAAAAATTCAACAAACTTTTTAAACTGTTAGAGTCAGAAACACAGATATTAATGTTTATGATTAGTTTATTTGTTTTCCTGAATATTATAGTCTGGTTGATTTAGAGTGAATATATTGTCGCTCGGAAAGAAAACTTAGCAAGACATGTTTTATATCATTGGAAGATGACTTTTATATCCTACAAGAAAATAAAACCTTAGGGAAGATGTTTCATAAAGAAAAATGTCAAATTAAATTTTTAGTGAAGAAATCTAAATAAACATACAAAGGACATAACCAAAATTCCTAAATTATTTATTGTTTAGTTTTGTGCAATAAACGTAAATTAATATGGATGGCAAGTCCAAAGGAAGGAAAATAAATTCATTTTATCCTTACTTCTGCTTAATAATCTAAAGTTATTCCAATAGATAGATAAATATTTATTTGAATTTCTTAAGACAACTACAGCAGGGAACTCCCGCGTGTCCAGACGAAAACTAAAATGTGAAACTTCCAGTGGGATGAGGAGTTTTCGAAATAGACCTCCAAATATGATCCTTATTTGAACCATGAGTAGGCATCTAGTATAGAACGCTATAGTCGGAAATAATACTTAAGACATTACACTGTCGTACGCTGATACATACAAGTACATATAGGTAGTGCGTGCTAAATATTATCCGGCACGACTTTACAAAATCTGGCAAAGAACATGTATGGGTTATCTATCTATCTATCTATCTATCTATCTATCTATCTATCTATCTATCTGCTTCAAACTTTTCATATCTATCTATCTATCTATCTATCTATCTATCTATCTATCTATCTATCTATCTATCTATCTATCTGCTTCAAACTTTTCATATCTATCTATCTATCTGAGTCAAACTTTTCATATCTATCTATCTGATTCAAACTTTTCAAATCTATCTATCTATCTATCTGCTTCAAACTTTTCATATCTATCTATCTATCTATCTATCTATCTATCTATCTATCTATCTATCTATCTATCTATCTATGTAGGTGGTGCAATAGATATTGTTCGGAATGAAAATTCAGAGAGCCGGGTTTCACTCAGGTTTGTTGTATTCACTTACGCGCGAAAAACATTGGGAAATACTGTTTCTTCTTCCCAAGCCTTGGGGTTAAATAGTAGCACCTATATCCGGAAAAATCATTGAGAATTTTAGTGCAATATTTACTTGCAAAAACTGATTTTATTCTGACAATTCGGTTTTGAATAACCCACAAGGGGTAGATAAGAGGTGATAATACATCTATCTATCTATCTATCTATCTATCTATCTATCTATCTATCTATCTATCTATCTATCTATCTCAGTCTGTTTCTTTATGATCTAGCTATCTACCATAAGATATCAGCACAGTTTGGTTGGGAAACTACCTACCTTTCCTATGTCTTCATCGTCAATATAAGTATATGATTATTTAAACGTCCAGTGGATTGTAAATATAGACCAGGA